ACAGAGCACAGGGCAGAGAGTTTTTTGAGACAATATATACCAAACACATCAAAAGAATAAGTCTTTGGTGTTGTGAAAAAAATCTGCAAGTTATAATGCTCTCTAATGCTGTCTATCAATATTCTTTCGTCACTGAAAAACATCTCTTTCCTGTGAGTACAACTTTATAGGATGCAACTATCTTGTTCAGATCTGAGTCAGGTTTATTACAGGAAGCTGTTTTATTGTACTTTCATGTATCTTGTTTAGGCCAAGCATGCAGACTCCTCATGAGATTATGACCAAAATTAGCCTCTTGCCTAGGTACATTTCCACTTCCCCATTTCACTGTTTTGCCTTTTCGCCTAATTGATGCTGCCCAGTTACTCAGGCCCGGAACTTCTCCATCAGTGTGGAATTTTCCTCTTTGACATTTCAAGCATTTTCCTTCTGTGAGTAATTTTATTTCAGTTATTTCTATTTCTGCTTTCACTTTCCCTCATGGTGTTGTGCCTGTTTTATATGTTAGACTATGAATCATTTGTGCCTGTTTTTATTAGCTGTTCTCAGAAATTGCACCTTCTTCCTTTATGCTATTTAGGAAGAGGTTATCCCCATTAATTCTATCTTTAACCCAAATACTTTCCTGCTTTGTATGCATGTCTTTGTGAACTAGTTGGGCTCATTACAATTGTTGGGCTATCGCTTGGTGTTTGGACATTTTCTATTCCAAGTGGCAGCTGCTGATTTGCTGGCATTGTTTGGATTTTTTTTTTTGCTTTTTCAGTTTATTTAACCTTTACTGAAATATTTTAAAATGCGTTTACCTGTATCATATAATCTGTGTTGTTTAATTGCCTTTGGGATTTTGATTCAGTGGTCTTTCAGGTATCCCTTTCTTTAATGAATCTCCAATTTCTTGATCTTTCATGGAGAGTCCTGATTAAAAAAGGGGATCTTCAAGGTGGGGAAAAAAAACCCTGCTTCCTCTTCTTTTCTGAATTCTTACTGATAAAATTGGTAGCATTTCTTCAAATGTACACAATGCTCTTCCTACCTTTCCATTAGCATTTCAAAGCAATTTTCTCCTTCATCTTTGCATACAAAATGCAGCCAATACTCTCAAAACCAGCGTCATTCTTTTAATCATCTTCCAGTTTGCTAGCCACAATGAATTTCATTTACAACAGAAAGTGCTGGTTGAAGCTGAACCTTCTCCAGATTTCTTCAAGCAGCTCGCATAATTTTTAAAGCTGCCAGGTTATTTACATGGTGCAGCCACAGAGACTTTAGAACTTCATTTTTCTTGTAACTTTTTCTGTACTGAGGCTAGTAATTTTCATCAGTCATCTTCAACTGACTTACTCTTTTTTCTAGATTTACTGGTACTTGTGATTTCTTGTAAGGACTCCACAGTATTTCAGTCCCATTAGGGGTAAGTTTTAGGTAACAAAAACATAAACAGTGAGCAGAGCACTCGTTCTGCTTTCATTCAGCCTGGTTTTAGTCTCCGTCTCTATCCTTGAAGGAGTATGTGAAAGTCTAATTATGGTGCAACACAATAACCTGCCACTACTTTAAACTATCAAATAGAACATAAACTCCCATAGCACCATTTATAGGGAAATTGGACAGGCTCTCTGAGGCATGAAAGGCCTACCTTTAGAGCACTGAAGATGTCCAAATAAGATCTATATTTTTTCTATACATGCTAGAGATAGAAGGGATGAAGCCGGCTTCATTTTTCCTGAAGAGCGATGGCTCAGTTTTCTCATTTGTCAGTATGTGTGCACATGTTTTTGTGTGTATGTTTGTGTGTGTGTATGTGTGTGTATTCTGGAAGGAGAAAGAGAATGCATAATCACAACGAGAGTATGTGATCAAAGATACAGTAGAGGAGAAGTTTCCAGTCTAATTTGTGTAAGCATTTTCATCAGCAGTGGCAATGCTGGTCCCGCAACCAGTAAAGACAGCAGAAATACCTTTCTTCCTCCTAAATATGCCTAAATTTCCCCAGAGAAGTCCTGTTTTGGCACACAGAATTTCAGTCTTGTTGGAACTGGAGGATTTTTAAGTGTATCTGGTAATTCCAGGTGGTTGCAATCTGGCAATGAATCCTGCACAGTTGTTCCCGCTAGGCTGCTGTATGGCTGGAAGTCCTGGTGGTTTCAAACACATATGCAGCACAGTTGCTGTGTTCTTGCAAGTAAAGCTGATGCTGTGAGATGCACTGGACGCAATTACCACATGTCTGTTATTCAGCTGGTTGTGCCTGACTAACATTTCCTGGAAATGCTGGTTTTGTTTTATATGTACCACACCATTGATTCATACCTAACGAAATGCAATGTGACCCTAGAGCTTGGACTCACTGCTCACACACATGCAGACGTATCTGGGAAATCCCAGAGCAGCAGAGAGAGTCCACTCAGTCTCATGCATCACAGCTGGAATGCAGGCAACGGGTGAGATCTCTGCCCCAAAGTCAAGGGCAGGACTGCTGTGGTTTGTGCCTGTGAATCTTCACCCAGTTGGAGTGGGGAGGCTGTTAGAAAGTGCATAAAGCCTGTCCTAGCTGCCTAAGGGAGGCACCCTGGAGATAAATTTCCATTGCAGCTTCTGGGTGGAAGACTTGCAAAGCTATTGTGGTTTCTGGGTATGTGTCATTACCGACTCAGGCATAAGCTCAGCTCAGAAACTGGGAAGGAAGAATGGGGATCACCTGAGGGGTGGGTGGTTTTAGAAGAGTTGGAGGGAATGATGAGGGAGAGGGAGCAGGTATTAGATGAGTGAGGAGGAGGATTATGGGAAAGTGTAAGGGACAGTGTCATGACTGAGTGAGGAATGTGATCTTTCATGAGAAGCAGCTCCTCTTGGCTTGACTTTCAATCTGTGCACAGGCAGATGGGAAATTCATGTCTTACTGTTTCCTGTCCTGACAGGCTACCTGCTAGTCTTACCAGGTGGCAAGGACGAGCACAGAGCTTGTTGTATGCTAACATACAACTTTCTCTGCAGCACATGCCAGCTTGCAGCTAGCTAGACAAATGCAGGCTAGAGCTCAGTATGACAGGAATTTGTTGCCTAAGCACAGCATCTACACAAAGAAATCATGCATTGGCCCAATGTCCGTGATAATAGTAATAGACAGTAGTGCCCATGATCTGGCTTCTTTGGTTCATTTGGGCCTTTAGAGAAGGGAGCACTGGTACATGAACCCCATATGCTCTACGGGATATTATGCCAAACGACAATGGCACAGAGATGCCTGGAATGGCCAAAAAAAGGGGCAGAGGCAATGTGCCCAGTAGTGGAGGACCTCCCTGATCAGATCATCCTGATGATAGATGCCAGACTGCCCGCTTCATGGTGGAAGTCATGGGTGTGACTTGGGACCAAAAGGCAACATCAACCTTCCGGGGCACAGGGAGGAGCCCTGAAGGTGGTGTGCTGTCCCTCCAAGCTCGTTCCCAGCAGTTCCCATCAGAGGACATAAAAGATAGCCTTTTGCTCTCACTGTTGTACCCAGGGCTGGTTGTCTCAGGTCTTGAGGATAATCTGGACACACTAGCAGGTTTTGACCTCCACAACTGCCACTCCATTGAGATGCCATAATCTGAGCAAATATGTAAGCAACCACCCAGCCAGAATGCCTGCATCTGTTCATGGCAGCAGAGACAAAATAAGTTTGGGAATTGCGGGGCACCAACACAGGAGCCTTGAGCTTGGACATTTGTTCCTGGTCATGATTACAGCCTGATTTCGTGTCATCAGCAGCTGCAATCACCATGCTTGTACAGTAAGTTTAGTGCAGATGCTGAGAAGTCATGGCAAGCAAGGTCATTGATACAGTGCATGCTGGGAGAGCAGTCAGGAGCCGAGTATAACGGCAGACAAATTGTTGGCAAGTTTGAAGTGCTTATCAGGAAGGGGCACAGAGGTGTTGACAAGCTATATATGTATGTAGGTATGTATGTATATACATACAAATATAGCTGCCAAACCTGAATCCTCTCTTGAAGTGCAGAGAGACAAAACTGACATGAGCCTGAGCTAAGCGATGGCTTGCAGTGCGGATACTACTGTCAGAGCCCTGAGGGCACTAACAGACCTCAGTGGCCCTGACCAGCTCCCCCTGGGGCCTCCACCAAGACACCCTGCTCGCAGGCCCAGGAACCCATTTCAGCTCAGGCCTGGGCCTTTGGCCCCAGCCCCTGCTGTGCTGTTGGAGTGTTGGTCTCCAGCTCAGCCACAGCTGGGCCCTTGCCTGGCCACAGACCTTGTTGATCTGGATCCTGACCTGCAGACTGAATTCATGGCTGACCTCAGCCTTGCCTCACCACTGTGGACCTGCCTGGCGATCACCAGGCTGTGTCTGACTCTGGTTACTGTTATTGGACTTGATCCTGACCCTGGACTGCGGACTGACTTCCTGGCTTGAGCTCAGACATGCCTCATCACCAAGATCTTGCCTGATTATCTCGACTCTTGGTTGACCCTGGCTGCCATCCCCAGGCCAGCCATCATAGGATGGGGTCTTGGCTGGCAAGACCTGTGCCCTGTTGGCCCTGTTATTGCGCCTGGCTTAGGGAGCAGCTGGTCCTTGTTGCTCTCTGGCAGCTACCGTGTCTCGTCAGTTGGCTTGATGCCTGCAAGTCCAACCTCAGGCTTGGCATAGCCTAGGAGATTCAAGGCATAAAAATAGAAGAGCTCATATTTGTGCAGAGTCTGTAGAGACCTTCTTCGCTCCAGACCTGTGGCTGGTGAAATAAAGGGAGTTGCTAATGAGAACTGGTCCTGTCATTTTTATATCAGATGGTTTGTTCCCCTTTAAGAGCAGAATTCTTCACTGGCTGTCCACAGACAGAGTCTAATTTGGTTGCATTAGTTCAATGAGAATATTTTACCTGACAATCAGATTTTCAAAGGATTGACTTTTCAGCTTGTTGTATTTCTAAGACAATTTATTTATTTTTTCTTTCAATGTATAGATATAGAATAAAATCACTTGAAAGTAAAGAGTGAAATTGGATCCCATTAAAACATGGAGTTAGTGGAATGGTGACAGATGGGCCCTGCTGGGCAGAAGATCATTGAACAAGATTGGGGTAAGTTAGTGAGTTTGCAATTATAAAACATGTGGCTTTGTAATTTCTAACTCCCAGTTCTGCAAAGTAGTTTGTGCAGTTGGGCCCATATGTCTGCAGGGAGATTCACTGAGACAGGCACAGAGATCTGCATGGAAGGTCAGGGACATGCAGATATTCCAAAAACGTAGCTGTAAGGATGTGAATCTCTCTCTTTTCTAGCCAAATTTTAGTCTGCCCTCTCCAGAATGGAAGAATGCTTCACTATAGAATACGATTTCCATGCTTCCTGTCGTTGTTATCAGATCCGGGCTGGAATTTTAAGACAAATGTGAGCCTTTTGAACATTGTTTGATTGATCTGCCACTGTAAGTGTTGTCCATTTAAGTATGCCTGTGGCAATGGGAGACAGATTTTTAATTATGTTTTTAAGAGCACTCTGAGTTCTTTTTTATAATGTTGAAAATCTTTATCTTGACTCATTTCTGTAATAAACCTTTGGGAACAGGAAACTAAAACTTATTTACTTAAATTTCTTATCTCCATTATCATAAAGATGTCTTAGCAATTCTATTTTTAGGATTGCACAAATGGGGCACAGATCCTGTTTTTCTTTTAAAGCAGATTGTGTTTGGATGTAAAATGTCAGATGTGGGAGATTTGTGTCCCTCTGAATGATCAGCATGATTCTTACTTTCAAGGACAACCTCAGTCATCAAGTCCTATCATCTGCAAACCCAGATGTCAGGGACCAGAGCGCATCTCCCTTCTAGGAGTTTAGTTGGCCAAGTTAGAGTTTAGCTGGCTAAGTCCAAGGTCAGTTCCTTCATCGAGAAGAGCTGTTGTAAAGATAGCTAGAAGCGAAGGCCTACTCCTCCTTTTCCCCTGGGAACTGCTTTTAAGCTGAGGCTTTACCGCTGGCCCCCACCTGTGCTATATCATAGCTCTGCAGCAGCTACATCTAAACCTAGTCTTCTACCTTTGTGAATCTGACCCTGCTCCGGACTCCTGGCTTGGCTTCCTGGCTTTACCTCAAACTTACCTCCTCACTACAGACTTGCTGGGTGATCACAGAACTGCAAGCAACTCCAACAACTGTCTCTGGCCCTGATTTTGACCCAGACTTCCGCTCTGCATCACAGCTCCTTGTTGGTAAGATCACTGCTCATACCTGCCTTATTATCATGCTCTGCTCATCCTCCTTCGCAGAGCAGTCAGTCCTTGCTTCTCCCTGACACCAGACCACCATACAGTGGATACATTTAACTCATTACACAACCTCTTCCACATGTTTAACAAGCTCCAGTAATTTAGGGATCGCTCTCCCAATGCACACTACAGGGAGCCAGTTGGTCTCAAGGACCTGAAGCCATGCAGCTTCCAAACTTTGTTTCCAAACATCTTTGGAAAGCTCGTTTTCACTTCCTCAGCTACAGAATCACAGCGCTGCTGCTGATCCTAACGCTAGACTTTGCATCTTGTATTACAGCCTCACATTTTTGCCTATTCTGTATCATGGTACAAAAGTTGTTTTACGTGAGTTCAGTTTTCATAGTTGCAAATTTACTGGTATAGTCCAATACTCCTTAGTGGTTCTAAAATTCCTTTTTGATGTGCACGTCTCATCGTGCCTTAGGGAAGCACAGAAGAGAGCATGAACGTACTTGATACATTAATGAACAGGTGCTGGAGGTGCATATCATAGGTCAACTGGGTGTAGGAGGAACTGGTATCTTAGCAGTGAAACAGAAATGCTAGGAGAGGGAGGAAGGACAGGAGAACGCAAAGCATGAAGTGACAGAGCCAGGGCAATCACAAACAAAAATGATCTTTCCAGAAGCACTTTGAATGGATCTGAATGGTGCAAGACTGCCTTTGTGAGAACCGCACACAAAGAAGCAAGAAAAAGGCTAGATGGGAGAATTTGGCTGGGCTGATGGATAGGAAAGGCCCTATCTTTGATATGTTGTTATACAGAAAAAAACCCAACAAGGTGTGATTCAGAGTTTGGATGTGAGGCTGTTCAGAGAATTCAGAGTAGAAGGCAAGGCATGGGTTATGAGTCTGCACTAGGAGGAGACTATATTCTCTACCTTAATCAAGAAAGGAGTTAGGAGAATGAGATTAGCGCAGTATTAATAATCCTCTTATAGCCATGCTGAGGATGAGCAAGGGCTACTCTTCCTCATTAAGAAGTTAGGGTAAGGGTTGTTTGGAACAGGATGGAATCTGGACTGCAGAGGTTGATTTGTGAGTTTTCCACACAGAAATAATAATAAAATATATGTTTGCGTGAGAGACAACACACTGAGAAGGTGTAGAGAGAGCAGAGAAATGGGTCAAAGACAAAATCTCATGGCATAGCTAGGTTGTGGTGAGGAGTATCTTCCAAAGACGCAGTGATTGGAGAGATAGGATGATAAACACGATAGAGCCACAGAAGCCACTAGAGACCAAATTTCACAGAGTTTGCTCACCAGTGCCCAGTCACTATCCTACCAGAGAGAACGTGCATGTTGTTTTGAGTTGTGTCATTGAGACTTTCCACAGAGTTTGGAGATCAGAAAGAAATGGAAAGCGTTTAGGATAAACCTGAAGAACATGCTTCCAAATAATGACTACAGACTGTATGCTCAGGATTGTTTCAGAGAATGTAATGCTAGAAGGGATCACTGTGATCACTGCAAGAACAAAGAAAGAATATGCAGGTATAGTAAGAACCATCTGTACTTCCAGAGGAAAATCACACTGAACTTTGTCTGCCTTTGAAAAATGTGAACCATAGTAATAACTTTCTAGAAATTATGTCTTCCTTTTAGTGCTGATGATGAGGCACTTTTGTACCTCAGTTTCACAGTTACATTAGTAATTGATCAAGGACAATAGGGTGAGTACAGCAAATTCCTGGTTCTTGAGAAAACCTTTTGGTTTCAGCGCAAGACGTTTCTGAGAATGTTAACAGAGATTAGCAGATTAACAGAGATATACAGATTACCCAGTATGACAGAACCAAAGGATGAAAAACGACGCTTAGATTTTAGTAAGACTACGAAAGTCAAAACAGGCACACAATTTTAGAAGTACAAGGCTTTATGAGGGGTTAGAAACAGATGCTTTAGCATCTGGAAAGGTCATCATAAGCTACAAAACCTAAAGAAATGTCACTTCCTTATGATGAGTGAAACATGGAGAGACGTTTTATAAAGGAACCTGCTCAGTCTTTCAAAGAACACAAAGCAAAAGCAAAACTAGCAGTCAGCAGAGAAGCACGAAGCAAATAGACTGAAGAACAAAAGTCTTCATGGACTGATCTTTTTTTTTCAGATTGTGCATGAAAGTAATTTAGCAACTGAAGGCATAAACATATTTGAAGATACTTTACAGATGAAAACTGGAAGACAGTTGAAATGACAAAAAGACCAGTTGAAGCCTGTTGATCCTGAAGTAACAGCATAAAATATTAGGTTTAATCACTGTACTGTTTGGAGCATATTGTAATGTCATTGGTAATGCAGCTCTCTTCATCTATGCTCTCTCTTTGGTCTCTCTGGCCCACACTGCCTTTCTGGTTTCTATCACCTCATGGAAGTCTTCACATTTCCTTCCCTTTTTGACTAGCACAAGACTAGTGACCAGTGTCCAGCTGTCTACCCCATGGCATTACTGTAGGTCTAGACGGTAAAAAACAGAGAAGAAGCAGCAGCAAGAACGTCAGCAGATGGAAAAGTTTAGCTATGTGGACAAACGAGAAACACCCTCGCTCTGATATGTTAAACAGAAAGATCCAGCAAGGTGTGGTTCAGAGCTTGGATGTGAGGATGGAGGAAGTGTTCAGAGCACAGAATTACTCTCAGTTAGAAGACTGCGTCCTTCCCCGGATCAAGAAAGGTGAAATAGGTGTCAGGGCCCTGAGTGCACTGAACAGTCTTAATGATGCTGACCAGCCTCACCTGGAGGCACACACCCTGCCAGAGGCTCCAGGTGAGGCTAGCCAGGGCCATTAAAGCCTATTAGTGCACTCAGACCCCTGACAATAGGAGGACAAGAACCACCTGACTTTCATGTATTTAATCTTCCCTTCTTCAGGTTCCTATAACCAGTGATAGTGACAAACAGTTTCCTTATAAAGGAATAAATGAGGACAGCAGTAGGGTGATTTGTGTCTGGGACAGAGGGGATACTTGTCAGTAAAGGAAGCTAACTTCAGATGCCCTGACTGACACTAAGTGTTTAAGAGTCTGGATTTTTTTTGGATACATCCATACTTGTGTTATTACACCGACCATCAGAGTTTTTGGTTTAGCTGAGCTGCTTTCCCTCCCTGGGATCCTCCCACATTAACCTCTGTTGGGGGTTAATTTCCATAGGACATCCACACTTGGACCAGAAGCTAAGCACTAACCTTCTTTAGTTCAGCATGTCCAGCTAGACTTCAGACATTTTTTCACAGTCCAGCATAATTCCCCAAGGATTTGAAGCATTCAGAGCAAAGTATAAAAATGATAAAAGATGTAAATGCTTGATATTACTGGCACCAGAGCTCTCAAACCTGCTTTGCTCAGATACCAGCAACTGCTATGACTGTGATCAAGGGCACCACTCATGGGTATTGGCAGCATCAGTGGCAGTGGAAGCCTCTCTTGGCTCTGTGCCTGTTTTATCCGTGTGCAGGATGCATGCCTCCATGCCTTTCTCTCCTGCTTTCCTAACATATCACTCTCACACCTGCAAATGAGACTCCTCACCACCCTGCAGCTCAGCTAGGGGGTTCCCTAGCTGCCCATCCTCTCGGTTCACTTCTCATATTGTCAGGTCCTACTGCAGTTTGAGAGCTCTGCCTTGCACCTTGGAAGTCCTCTCCAGCCCAGCTATCTACATTTTGGCAGGCTGAACCAATCTATCCTCACCCTGGCCTTCATGTTTCCTTTGCTGTGAGTCAGCCTAGCCTGTCAGCTTCATTAAAACGCATGCCGCTCCCTACAAACTGTGAGTGTTCTAGGCTCCAGTGATCTTGTGAAATCTTGAAAAAGTAAAAACATGCTACCTTGAAAGGAACTAGAGGTGTACCTTGCCTCCCAAACTTGTGGACCTGTTCTTGTTCTTTTAACACCTTTGAACCTGCAGATGCCTCGTCCAGGACGACCTTTTTTTTTAAAGATGACTTTACTGTTCGTTTTAGTTTTATATGAAAGTATTCACAGACTAAAGAACTTTGACTTGTCGTGCACGCACGCAGGCGGGCAGCAACGCATAACTGAGCAGCGTAGAAGGGTCACAGTTAATATTCATAGAAGACAATTCAGAGGTGCTCTCTGGTGGTTCCTGCATCCCCTCTCATAGTCCTCCTGCCTTAACGTTCCCACCTGTTTGAAGTGGCTTGGGCAGTGAACGGGAGGTTCTGCTAGAGCCGTTAAAGTGACCAGGTCTGGCAGCGTTTCTTGCAGATCCTTAGGTCTCAGCTACCAGCACATCACCGGTCTGCCATCCAGGCCGATCCCCAAGATAAATTAAAATAACCACCTCCGAGTCTGTACACCGGGATGACTACTCGGGGCAACTGCAGGTGCTTGCTGAGCGTCTTTACACGACATCTTTGTGCAGCTCTTCGGCCATCTGCCCGCCGCGTCTCTGACCGACAGCTGTCCAACACTAGCACCCGGC